ATTTGATATAAGCTATAATACACAAAAATTTAATTGGATAACTAATAATATTCAATTTGAAAATCAAAATCAAATTGAATTATTTACTATACATATATATGATAATGCAATAGGTGAGCATAAAGAAGAAAGATCAATAAAAAATATTAAAATAATTGGTATACAAAATCAAAATTTAAAATCAACAAATAATTATTTAGATGCATTAAAAATGATTACTTTAATAGAATCTTTTTATCTATATCTTCAAGAAAATATTATACCAATAATTGCTAATTGGCCAGAACAATATTTTATTCAAAAAATTTTAATACACTATTATAAAAAAGTTAATACACCAGATTTTAATTCTTTAATAGTTCCTGAAAATATTAGTAATTTTATTCTAATTATTGGTCCTTTTCATATTTCTTTAAATTTTTGAGAACAAGTTATTCTTGTTTATTATTTATTTTTTAAAAAATTTTTTCATTATTTATTTGGTGAAAAAATATTTGCAAAAAAAAACCTAAGCCTTGGAGATTTAATTTATTACTTAAATTAATTTATAATGGATGAAAAAAAATAACTTAAAAACTTTTATTCAAATTTGAAAATAATTGTACAGATATAGAATATAGGATAATATTAGATCTTTTAGATAATCTAGTACCTACAACTTTAGATATATATGCAATTCTTTTTAGATCTGAACTTTTTAATCAATATTTTGATACTTTATTTTGATTATAGACATTTGCATTATGATAGAAAAGAAAAAATTATAACAAAACACCTTTAGCTTTTATATCAGATTATCTTTATTGGCAACAAATTAATTATCTTTTAGCAAATATTATATCACAATCTTTAGTTAATTTTAATGATTATTTTGTTGAAAATTTTCATAGTAAATTATGAGCAAATATTAATATTAATTATACTGCAGATCATATTATTAAATAATCATATTTATTAGATATACATAATAATCAAGTATTTAATACTTTTTAACTGAAAAATATATCTATATAAACCAAACCAATTAGATTATTTAGCTAAAAAAAGTAGTTTATTTTTATTAGAACATTTTCAAAATATTTTTCAAAATATGGAAAAAAGCAAAATAATCAAAACTAAGGTTAATATTAAATTTTTTATAGCAACACTAGATGAAATTGTTAATCTTAATTGTTTGCCAACTAGTTATTATACAGCTCACTTACCATTACCAGATAATTGTGATTATTGTACAATTTCTATTAGATATTTAACTATTAAAATATATATTTGTAGACATTCTTATCATGATAAATATTATAATGATATTGATAAAGTTTGTAAACATTGTTTTGAACAATATAAAAAAGAAATTACTAAACAAGCTAAAGCATTTAAAAAAGGATTAGAAAAAATTGAAGATGAAAAAAATATTTTAGATAATGAAAATACAAATGAAAATGATGATAATAATTTAGAAGAAAAAGAAAATAATAATGAAACAGAAGAAAATATAGATAATAAGCTTCAAATAGCTGTTAATACTATTGATCAATGGATAACTATTAAATAATTACTATATTTATAATACTGTAAATTTTTATTTAATGAATTATAAATTTAATAAATTAAATAATAAATTATAAATAAAATATAATTTATAATTAAAATTAAAAACAATTTTATTATAATATTAACTTATTATAACAATAATCTATAATAATATTAATATATGTCGGGGATGATGCTGAAATTTTGACTTATTTTATTATGAAAATGTAAAATTTTTTTTGGGTATTTTGTTCGGCTTTTTTTTCATAGTTCGATTAGAATTTAGGGTTAGTATTTATAATAAAAGAGTATAGGTAGACTTTAGTAGGGTTGATATTTTCAAATTAAGGTCTCCAAATTTCAGCATCATCCGATTTCAGCATCATCCCCAACAATATATTATTATATTAATTTATTATAATATAATATTAACCTATTATAATACTAACTTGTCATAATACTAACTCATTATAATATCAAATCATCATAATATCAACCAATTATAATATCAGCCTATCATAATACCAACTCATCATAATACCAATCTATCATAACATCAACCTGTTATAATATCAGACTGTTATAATGCCAATTCGTTATAATACCAATTTGTTATAATGCCAATCTGTCATAATACCAATTTGTTGTGATACTAATTTTTATAATACCAACCTATAATGCCAATTAGTGACTAGACTCATCAACTTATAACTCAAATAATTCAAATTTATTATTCTTTGAATCATGAAAATTTAACTCATGAGTTACTCGTAAGTTAATTATTGTTATGAATAATAGTGAAATCAGATAATAGTAAAATTTGAATCTATTTTATACATAATTTTTAAAAATTTTCAGGACCTTTTTTGCCAGCTTTTTTTTTATAATTGAGTTAGAATTTAGAGTAGAGTTATTAGTAAAGAGTATAAGTGAATTTTGGTAGAGCTAATCAAGACCTCTAAATTTCAATATCATCTGATTTCACAATTATCTATAACAATTATTAATATAAATTATGCACTATATATATTAAAATAATTAATACTAAAATTTTTAATTATATATAGAGATGGTAAAAAATGGTTTAAATAGTTTTTAAACATTTTTATTGTTTTAAAACTTTTTTTAAAATATCGAAGTCAGAGATAAAACTTTGCTAAAAATAAATATTGCTTTTGATTAATTTTAATTATCAGCAAAGAAATTTTTTTTAAAAAAAAAGTGATACTATATAATTTCAAATTTATTATATATATATATAAAAAATTTATAAGAAATATATTTGATCACTTTAATTTTATCAATGATATTTTTAACTGTATAAATTTGCTATTAGCTAAATACAATCTTTTATTTAATATTAGTTTTATATTTGTAGTATTAAGAATCCAAGTTTATAGCAATATCACCACTATATAAACCTTATTAAATAAGTTGTTACGAATGAATTATTGGAAAATTAGAAGAAATACAATTAATAAATAATTTATCTTTCTCATATTAATCCAATCACATATGTCACTTGAGATAGAATCATGAACTTTCAATAAATCTCATATTTTTTAGAAGTTTTTTAATGATCTCATATTTCTTAAAAGTTTTTTAATCAATCTCATATTTTTTGAAAGTTTTTTAATCAATCAAGTAAATCAGCAGTCTTTTTCGTAATAATTGCATTTTTA